GCGTGTTGTCTTTGTAAGTGCTTGGAAAGATTTGACGTTGAGTTCACAGCAGTAGACAGTGTCTTGTGGCCCAGGCATAGCTTGCACCCAACTGTTATGTTCTTGTCCTTTCTCGCAACAAAAGAAAAATAATGTGCAAACCTCCATCCATAAAATGATATCGCCGTGTTCTCCTCCACCTCCGCCTCCGCCATGTTGTTGTTCTTCCCTCCATGTGACTTTGTACGTCGTGACGTCCCAACATCATTGCAATGCGTACGTCTTTGTTTTTCCCCGTCATGCGTCTCTGCTCCGTCTTCCCACAACTATTCTCTGAAAGGTCCTGATTAATTGTAACGCAAGTAACGAATGTAAGATTTTGTTAGTAACTGTAATATATTACAGGCATTTTCAAAGTAGTGCTTTACACTACTGCGTTACTGAAAAATGTAATTTAATTACTGTAATGCGTTACAAAGTAACGCATTACACCCAACACTGCTTATAACAAATCCTTTTATTTTTTGAGTGACAGTAAAGATGCACCAAACAATCGGGCTAAAAACGGTATGATTTTCACATTAATCGTCTCAAATCTGTGACCAGCCAGATAAATCCTAAAAATCCAACAGTTTTCTTTAGTTTTTAAATAATTAGTACTGAGAAATCTGACATGTTTTTGGTCTGTGAATGCACCATCAGAGCAGCATGCTGGACATTTTACTTATTTTTCTTATCTTAGTAATAAAAAAAAAAAAAAAAAATTTTGGAAGAGTGATAAGGCCTGTAACCACTTTAAAAAAGGTTGATCAAAGTTGATTATTGTCAATATTTGTTACAGGTAAATAATAATAATACAAAAATATGCATATTGTATGTTTGTATGGGTTAATTCAATGATTAAAAAACTGGTATCGGCAGGTCAGGTCTATTAAAAAAATTGAATATTGGTCAGAGGTGTAAAGTAACAAAGTACAAATACTTCATTACTGTACTTGAGTGGAAATTTTGGTCATCTACATACGTGAGTAATTATTTTTCAGTTGACTTTACTTCTCCTTCCACTCCTTACCTTTTCATACAATTATCTGTACTTTCTACTCCTTATATATTTTTTAAAAAGGTAAAAGTAGAAAGTCGTTACTCCTGTTTCATTTTGCCTTCTTTTAATTTAATTAAAACCTATCCAGATAAATTGTGCCTCTTGGATAAAGTGAATTTAATTGTGAGAGAGGTATAAATATATATTTATACCTCTCATGTCATGTGTACAATCTGTCACACCTGCATGACACAAATCACTTCACACTCCAGCAGGATACTGTATATCAGACATAGTAGTTTAGTATGAAGATGATGTGCCAGAGATACCATACTGTATACACAGATGAAACAGGTACATCCTAAATTTTTCAACACTGGTCCTTCACAATGTCACAGATGCTAACAGTGGACCGGAAAGGCAAGGCTCAGGCTAGTGATATTTAACTCTATGGTAATCTGTCACTTAGCTTCGGCATGGGGTGCAGGTTGTAGGGTTCTAGTGTGTTGATGGTCTTATTCTCAGTAGGGCTGGGTGATATGCCCCCCCCCCCCCCCCCCAAAAAAAAAAATCTCCGATTTTTTTCATCCCAAATTCAATTTTCGATTTTAATTGATTTTGTTTCCCACTTAACAGAGTGCCTCTGTTTCAGATGTTGAAACAATTTTTTGTACTCCTGCTTTTTGTGTGGCAAGAGCCTTCAAACAGATTTTGCAGTGAGGTGTTCGTTGCTCCAAGTCAGTGGTTACAAAATCTAACCAGTTCCAGATAACTGAAGAAACCGTGCCTTTTTTGAGAAGTAGATCTTCTTTGCTAGCTGCCATATTGTAATGTTGTGTACCAATCGTCTTAAGGGACAGGTGGGGTGACCTCTGAACTATAGAAGCCCCAAAGAGTGCACTGGTAGGAAAAACATCTCACTTTTCCCAAAATTAAATCTT